TAGACACACAAACAGTTATAGAATATCTTAACTTCAGACACATAATTTATTAACTCAGACACATAACATAGTGTGTTATTCTGCAGTTAACAAATTTTGTATTTACGATTAACAATTTATGTGTATGTAGTTATGTTATGTTCCGTCAATTTATTTACAGGCATATAAATTGTTGACTATATCTACAAAATATATCAACTGCAAACACATAATTTTTAGACCAGGATCTACAATGCAAGATGGACCTTGGTCCATCGTATAACAATTGATGTTAATTGCATGAATGTATGTTATTTTGGACCCGAGTATGAAATTAACATATATGTGAGGCATTGTGGACCATGATCCAAGAGTTGGAAATTTAATTTGAGACTAGATGTAACATTTTTCATGGTATAATTTGCCCAATAGATACGACAATTACTACGAATACATACAAAATACGGGGTCGGACCAAGTTTAGGTCCTTTTATAGTCTACTTGTTGGTTTTAGGGCTTATGTTTGGTCAATGGCCGCAAATTATGTTGTGCAACCATAATGCACACGGTTGCAAAATGGTGTCGTTTTGATTAAACATGACACCTTCCATTTTTTAAAAAAAAAAAAATTTATTTTCGAATGCCTTTAACGGCGTTTGTGGTTTCCTTTTGCATTCAAACACTCCATTCGCGGATTTTGGCAGTTTAGCCTTTGGAATTTAGTCTCTCTACAATCGCAATCGCATTTTAATTTTCCATATTCGCAAGGTTGTTCTGATTTCGTATATTGATTCTTCGATGGAGGAGGCAACAGATCAGAGAGATTCAGCAGTTGATGGATTGCATATGATTGCAGATTTTTTGCATTTGATTTTTGCGATTTTTTCTCATTCGATCTTTTGCGATTTTCTGGTTTTGAGATCTTTTGCGATTAATTTGATGTTAGCAGTATGATTTATTGATGTTTGTGTTTAGAATTTGCTATTTAGATTGATTGTTTACAATGTATGTGATTTTGGTGATTTTGTATTGGAGATTATTTACAAGTTGAGGTGTTTATGTGTTTACGCTTATGGCAGTTCGTTGCGTCTGTGTATTCAGAATTAATGAACTATATATTCAGAATTGATGAACTATATATCCACACCGATTATTAGTACTCTGTTTTGGCTTGTAAAATAAATGTCCAGAAATTGCACGTTATATGTTCATAATTTTTTAGGTATATATTCAGAATTGTTGAAATAATATTCACAACGTTTATATATTCCAGTGAGTGAAGATTTCGTGGTTGATTCATTAAGTTCAGATCAAGCAGAGTTAGACATTGATGGCTCTTCTTCGATTCCAGGTTTATTCCTTGTTTTTTTACCTTCAATTATCAAATCATGTTGATTATGGATATGATTTCATTTTATGTGCTGTGTTGTTAGTTGATATCATGGAATTCGTGATTCTGTGTATATATTCATAATTGTTGAACTGTATATTCCTAATAGTTGAACTATACATTCATAATTGTTGAACTGTATATTCACATTGTTCATCATTGTTAGATTTTATACTTTTTTTCCATGGAAAATGTTATTCATTTTGTAGAGCATGGTTGGATTTATTCGGCATTCCCCATTCCCCCTCTACTTAGGAATTATATTTTAATGGAATGGTTATTATTTGTTATACTTGAGGTTATATCTTGTATTTGCAGTTGATCAAGATTTGGATGGTGTTGTAGTAAGTAATGGTGACAAAGCTTATGAGTTGTATAACGATTATGCATATAGAGTCGGTTTTAGTGTGAGGAAGGGTCATCAACGTTACAAGGCATCTACTAACACAATTCAAATGAAGAAGTTTTGATGTTCTAAGGCTGGTTATAAGGCTAAGGCAAACACTGGTGTTAAGGCTTATTCAAAAATTAACATAAGGACATGGTGTGGTGCATTTGTTTAGTTTGATGTGGGCGAGGATGGGTTGTGGACAGTTACAAAACACGTGAAAGTGCACAATCATGAGTTATGCGTGTTCAACAAGAATTATCTACTTCGTTCACGTAGAAGTGTGGGAGATAATCAGCTTTCATATTTACAAGGTTTGAAAGAGAGTGGGGTTGCATTGGTGGATGGCATTAGGTTTTTGAAACGTCAATCAGGGGGATCTCCATTAGTTGGTTTCACCAATCGAGATTAGTTGGTTTCACCAATCGAGATGCTTATAATTCGCGGACATCTTATACATTGAAGCGATTGGATGAAACTGATTCAAACTCTTTAGTTGAAACATTTAGGAGGAGGTAGTCTACGGAGTCTGATTTTTTCCTTGATTTTGAAGTTGATTCGGATGCAAGATTGTGCAGTTTTTTTTTTTTTTTTGAAGGATGGTCAAATGAGACGAGATTATGAGTTGTTTGGGGATTTGTTAATACATGTTTGTGGCCCTTTTGTAGGGATGAATCATCATTGCATGAACGTAATGTTTGGATATGGGTTTTTGATGAATGAGAGGATAGAATCATTTGTGTGGTTGTTTAGAGAATTTTTAGATCTATGGATGGCAAGTGTCCACAGTCTATCATGACAGATCAATGTGCAGCTATAACACCCCCGATTTTACGCAATAACAAAGACAATTAAAACTTAGGTAGAAAGATAAATCTAAACATTAAGTAGTAAAAACCGCGGAAGCTAAAATAGTTAATCGGGGAATGTTATGCTACATCTAACTAAACTATTAGATGCACATGCTAAATTCAAAGTACTTTAAACCCAAAATCCAATATAAAAATCTGCAAGTCTAAAGTTAAAGGCACACAAGCCACAATGTCTAGGCTAAGAGCAAAAGGGAGGCTACGCTAAACAACATCTTCTTCTAGCGCACTCAAGACTGAACTACTCTATACCTGTAAAACATAAGGGGTATCACCCGTTAGCGAATAATGCTAAGTAACCCACTACAAAGCATTGAGTACTTATAATATAGATATAAGAAAATCAATTTGAGACATGGGATACATAGATAAAATCTTAGTAACACTAGCTTTAAAACGGGAGATATACATTTCATAGGACTCATCAAAGAACACTCTCAATCAACCGACCATCACACGATTTAATAAAGAGATCAATACAAATGACAAGGACACATGATAATCAACAACATACGGTAATCAATATCAATCAAAAGATAACATCAATACATGCTCATAAGCCAATGAAAGTCAAGGATCGCAATCAATGACCGTTTCCAACCTTATTCCATGTTCCAACCTTTACACCGCTCCATCCTTATTTCAGTTCCAACCTGTAGCTCCAGGCCACCCTATACAACCAGTCCAACCTTATTCCTCTTGGAGACTATGCTCCCCGCCTGCTTGCCGCCAGCTTTTTAATAATGATCGTGATATATATATATATATATATATATATATATATATATATATATATATATATATATATAACCCCTTTCATTTGAGCAAAGCTCATCACCGCCAGCTTTCAATCATAAACACATAGTCATCGACATAGATTCTTGAGGTTCAACAATAGTCCAATCAAGAATAATCAATAGAGTACAACATTTCTACAAGCTTACAACACGAGATTCAATCGAAAGATTTCAAGAATAGACATGAAAGGAACATTTAAGATAATAGCACAATAACGTTAGACTTCAATTCAAAGATTACAATGATTGGTGAACACAAGTTACCAATCTTCATTGAGAACAAATGAACAAACACGTACTATACCAACAACATCGTAACTAGCATGCAAGTCAATAGGATAAACATAACGGTTCAAACGAACATAAAAAACTTCACATTAATCCAACGAATCACAAAGTTGGACCTTAAACATGATTCAAGACTCATAAATCCTATCGTGGATACTTAGGACATCGTTCTAGACGTACGAAACATCAAAGGAGACACACAATTGCACAAGGGTCCAACAAAACGGAAACCAACATACCACGTTCCAGTGAGCGGAACGGTGGGGGTTCAACCACCCACCATACCACCACTGTGTACCAGCGGGTGGTACCATGGGTGGTCAACCACCCGTGTACCCCCACTAAAATACACCTCGGTACCAGTGGGTAGACCGGCGGGTGGCACAACACCCGCCCATGTACCCGCTGGTACACCTGAACAGAGAATAATTCCCCTTCGGGGGAAAATGCAATGAAGTCCAAGGTCAAGTCCAAAACACCCAAAATCTCACATACAACAATAAGGGAACTTGAACACATGAAATAGCTCATAGAATAGCATTTGTGAACCCTAAATACAAGCTCTAAACATGCATAAACACAAGAATATGCATAAATTCACTCAATAACATCAAGAACATCAAGAACATCAAGAACATCAAGAAATCATAAAAAAATCATCAATAGCAAGTATAAAATAGGTTTTCTAGGACACGAGTTACCTTTTAAGCCTAAGAACACTTTCTCCAACTCCTATTCTTCCTCTTGGAGGTCTTCTTCTTCAAGATCTTTCCAAACACAACCAAAAACCTAAACAAAACAACAAAACTTAGATAAAGATGAGGAAAGACTAAGTAACAACCCTAACAAAGCTTAGGACTTACCCCTCCTAAGGTGGTAGAGGAAGAAAGTTTGAATCTTGGTGGATTCCTTGCAAGATTGGGGGTGGATTTTAGTCTAGCTTGGGGAAGAAGCTAAGGTTTAGAGAGAAGATAGAGATAAATTAATTTCTTGCCTAATGTGGGAAAGACAAGAGTGGTGGTGCTAGGGAAATATCTTGGATGTCAATTAAAAGTTGGGAAAAGACTAAAATAAGTCTCGCTTGTCCGCAAAATTGTTAAGAAGACATCAAAAGCTAGGTACAAAGCATAAAGTACAATGTCTTTTCCATTGACTAAGGAATCTAGTCAATTTAGGTCCTTCAACTATTTTAATGAAGAAGTTAGGAAGGAAATTTGTAAGGCAAATTTAGAATTAATTAGATAATTAATTCCGTTTAAAAGATAATTTTCCAAGGTGTCACAGTAGCTATGGCTGCTGCTATTTCTCAAGTGTTTCCAACATCACGTCATCGTCTTTGCATATGGCATAGTGGTGAGAATTCAAAGAAGCATATTAAGACGTTAAGGAATAATAAGGATTTCTTGGATATGTTTATTATTGGTGAAGCTGAGTTTGAAATTTATTGGACAAGGTATGTTAGTATTTAGTGGTTTTTACTCGATCATTTTGTATATTTATAGTATAGCAATTATGAACATATAGTAGTACGGTTATGAAAATGTGTTAGAATATGTAGTTTGGAGCTCACTGTTTTTTATTGTATTCTATTCATTCATTATGTGGATATACAATATATCAATTTTGAATATATAGTATTAGGTTTATGAACATGTAGTAGAGAATGATTTTTTGGAGCTTACTGTTGTTTCTGAATTATATGGATTCAATTTATGGATTTATAGTATAGTAATTATGAATATATAGCATTAGAGTTCTGAACATGTGTTAGAGATTTGGTGATCTTGTTTTTTTCTTTTCATAAACATTAGTGAATGTGTCTTATAATTTTCAGGATGGTGACTGGCTATAAGTGTCATAAGAATCCTTGGCTGGAAAAGCTTTATGACTGTAGGGAGAAGTGGTGTCCAGCATTTAACAAGGATTATTTTTCGGGGGGCATTTTATCTTCGCAAATGAGTGAAACTACAAATCATTCGATTTCTAGAAGGCTATCTAAGACTGCCGGTCTTTGTGATTTCTATTCCTCGTTTGTTAGTGTTATTTCTAAATGGAGAAGTAAAGAAAACAGTGAAGATTTTCGGTATGCTCAAATTGTACCTGCTATGATGATGGAGCATGTGAAACTTCTTTCATATGATAGAGAGGTATATACTATTGAGATATATTTTTGTTTGAGGAACAATTTATGAAAGTCAATGCTTGTCATCAAGAGATGGTGTTGAATGATGGTTGTCACTACAAATATCACGTGTGGCGGCCAGATATAGACATTATAAGGCATGAAGTTAGTTTTAAGCCAATCAACTTGGACATTTCTTGCAGTTGCAAGTTGATTAATGAGTTGGGAATTCTATGCTACCATTGTCAATGTATTCTTCACGTACATTGTGTTTCTAGTATCCATGATAAATATATCTTGAAAAGATAGTCTAAAAAGGTTGTTGATGGTAGAAATGTGGACATTGTTTCTATGTTTTATAATGTTAGTATTCCTCCTTCAATTTGGGTTGTTGAGATTAGTAGGAAATTTCAAAGATTGATTGTTTCTAGTCAAGAGAACAGCGTAGCTAGACAGTTTTGTGATTATGCTGTTGAGGATGCAAAGAAAAATGTTGAAGATGAGATTGGGTATGTGCATACTGAAGAGTTTGATGTGGTACAAAATCATTCAAGCTAGAGATTGAAATGTGATGTCATTGAAAAGAAGTACAATGGGTATGTGCATACTGAAGAGTTTGGTGTGGTACAAAATCATTCAAGCTAGAGATTGAAATGTGATGTCATTGAAAAGAAGTACAATGTGTATGTGCATACTGAAGAGTTTGGTGTGGTACAAAATCATTCAAGCTAGAGATCGAAATGTGATGTCATTGAAAAGAAGTACAATCTTGCAAGGAGGTTAAGAATTTGTTCAGTTTAGTAAGGGGTTTTTTTTTTTTTGGTTACCCAAGGGTATCGAACCCCCAACCTCATTCTTAAAAGATGAGATGCTAAACCACCACGCCAACCATGCTAATTAAGTTAATAAGGGTTTAGATGCCAATGTAGTTGTAGATTGAGAGTGTGCTAATACAAGTTGTTTGCTTTGAACTATATATTCATAATTGTTGAGATATAAATTCACAAGTTTGCCCTGTATATTCATAATATTCGTACTTTATGCTAACAGGTTTAAAAATACATGTTGACAATTATAGGAGGATATGTTCATTATTTTATATCACTATGTTCATAATTGTATGAATATATATTCATAATTTTCGAACTCCATATCCAAAAATTATTGGACTATATATTCACAAATATCAGAACAATATGTTCATAATTTTGTAACTTCAAATTCATAATTTTAAATCTATATGTTCATAATTCTCGTACTCCACATTCCCGAATTGTTGAACATTATGTTTATAATTACGTATCCATATATTCATAATTTTGTAACTACATATTCATAATTCTCGAACTATACATTCCCAATTGTTGACCTTTATGTTTACAGTTACGTAGTTATATGTTCATAATTGTATAACTACACATTCATAATTATGGACTTATATGTTCATAATTCTCGCACTATATACTCCTAACTACATATTCATAGTTACGTAACCATATGTTCATAAATTTATAACTTCACATTCATAATTTCAAAGCTATATGTTCATAATTCTCCATCTCTATATTACCATTGTTGCACTTTATGTTCATAATAATAAAACTATATGTTCAAAAATATAGAACTTCATAGATCACAAGTGAAAAAATTGATATTCACTTTTAGATTTCTGCATTCATAGTTTCACATTCATAAATTCGAGGCCACCATGTTAATAAAGTTTTTACAAATGAATAATCTTGTACATTCGCTTCTTCTTGTAGAAATCCTTGGCAGCTTTTATAACCTGGCCTTTGACCTTGTTCATCCTCCACATGATGATATTAGCAGCATATTTTGCTCTCAATTCATATATGAAGTCAGCCTGTAAATAAAGAACATTAAATAATTAGTTTACTGAAATTTTGTTTTTTTTTTTTAATGTATTTTCAAAGTAATATATTTCTTTTACTCTTACATTTACGCGCATATTTTTTCTGAATATAGGCTACAAATTTTTCAGAGTTCCCTTGTATGTCCCCAGATGTCTCATTACGTATATGCTACAGTCAGTGGCATTTTTAGTATTTTTCCAGTTCATTTCAAGGAACTCTTGTAACACCCCCGATTTTAACTTGGTTTTTAAAACTTAAATTCAAAGATAAGCAAAATAATCTTTCATTAAACCATAAGCGGAAGCAAGTCTAAAACGGGGATATTATGCGACACCTAAACAACATAGGTGCACAGGTTACACAAAGTCTAATTCAGAGTTCAACATCTATGGCTCACAGGCCCAAAACATAACAACTAAAGGAAGGGGAACTACACTAGCTACCAACTTCGACTAGCGCGCTCCACAACTAAGCAAAACCTGTAAAAGATAAGGGGAAAACACCTGGTCAGCGAATAAAGCTGGTAACCCATCAATACGCATTAAATATCATAACATACATAGGTATAATCAAAAGCGTTTGAGACAAAGGAAATACAATATATATCGTTTTAAAACCAGGAGAAGATCAACATCAAAGACTCATCACACTCTCAACAAAGACCGAGGATCATCAACCTCAATCAAGACAACAAAGCCACAAACAACAAAGGACAATACAACTCTAGATGCGACCTACCATTCACAAGGTAGAGTTCATCATAAACATGCTCAAGGAAGGAAGTACAACAATCACATAATGACAGTTCACATAATAGGTCCAAGTTCCAACCTTATGCCCTGTTCCAACCTTATTGCTACCCCCGACCTTATAACTAGTTCCAACCGTTACCTCCTAGTGCCACCCTGTACTTCTGATTCCAACCTTATTCTGCCAGGGACCGTCGTCCCCCCCACCAATCTTTACCACCAATCAGAACCGTATTACCACCGATCTCATAGTACACGGGGGTACTGTAAAGTAACAATATTACCACCGATCTCGTGAGCAAAGCTCAATATTATACCACCAATCTCAATCATAAGTACACTTAGTCATCATCGTCAGGAAGATCAAGGTTCATCAATAGCCAATCAAGTATCAACAAAGGGTACAACGATTTGTACAAGATAACATCATAAGAATCAACCAAGAGATTTCAACGAAGCCATGAGGCAATACTCAACAACAAAGGACTACAATCCAACATCAAAATGATTGGCAACACGAGTTGCCAACCTCAACAAGAAGGAACAAACCATACATACTAGCATAACAACATCAAACTAGCATGCTCATCAAACGGGTAAACCAAAATGGTTCCAACGAACCTTCAAGACACATTTTAGTCAAACAAATCACAAGGTTGGACCCTTAGCACGATTCAAGACACCAAATCCTAACATGGATTCCTAACACATCGTTCTAGACATACGAAACATCAAGAAGACTCACAAAAGCTCAATAATCCAACAACGGGAGGTCAAAACATCAAATACCAAGAAGAAAAGATCACGGGGAACAAATCCCCGTAATCCCCTTTCACGTTCCCCGCGGGTGGGACCACGGGTAGGCCCCCACCCGTGGACCTGCCCGCGGGGTTCAACCCGAAGACAACCACGTTCCCCGCGGGTGGGGCGGCGCCCGCCGTTCCGCCCGCGGGGTACATCTCTGTACACCATTTTTCCCTTCGGGGAAATTCATCTCCAAGGTCAAGTTCAAATCCAAAACAGCCAAAATCTCACACACAACAAAGATATGACTTGAACCCAAGAATAAGCCAAGCAATGGCATTCAAGAAACCTAAGTGCAAGCTCTAAACATGCATCATCACAAGATCATGCATCAAATCTCACAAATCACATCAAGAACATCAAATAGAAGCCAATAATCATTCATAGCAATAGAAAATAGGTTTTGTATACCATGAGTTACCTTTGAAGACTACAACTTCTTCCTTTACACTCTCCTAAGCCTCCTCTTGGAGTTCCTCTTCGCCACCAACTTCTTACACAAGCCAAAAAGCAATAAAGGTTCTATCTTAGATAAAGACACCCAAAAGATGGCTAAAAGCACTAAATAGCTAAGAACCTTACCCTCTCTTATGCTTGGGAAGTAGAAAGTATGAATCTTGGGATGGGATCTTGCAAAGCTAGAAGGTCATCCTTTTGGCTTGAAGAATAAGCAAGGTTTCTCTTTAGAGAGATGATGGAGTGATTGGAACTTAGGCTAGTATGAGAAATGAATGGAATGACTTGCTAGGGATAGCTTGAACAACAAAACATGTGTGAAAGGTCAATTTTACCCTTATTAAGGTTGGAAAGGCAAAAGGGTTGAGGTACAAAACATAAGGCAAAAGGTACACTTGGTTGACTAAAGAGACTAGTCAAATTCTAGTCTCTCGACTATTAAATTTCTGGATTTTTAGGAAGAAATTACCAATGAAAGCTAGAATTAATTTCTCAATTAATCCCTATTAGCATTTAGATTTACGGGGTGTCACATCTTCTCCCCCTAACAAGAAGCTTCATCCCCGAAACTTGGGCACGACGGGTTACCCAAAAGAATAGCAAAGAACCAAAGATGTGACAAGAGATAGCAAAGGGTAACAATCAAGAGCTCCAAAGATCAAGAGTAAGGCAAGGTTTCAAGGCAACGGAGAAAACTCTCAAGCAACATTACAACTAACACAGCTTAAGGCTAATTACCAACCGTCTATGCTAGATCCAAACCACGTACAGACTAAGCTCCAACGAGGCAATGCAACTAAACAAACAACTATCAACAAGCTAACAACCAAAGCAAACAAGGAACACACCAACTAAAGAAAAACAACTAAGCAAACAATTACCAATGAGCCGACAACCAAAACAAACAAGGAACGCAACGAGCTTACCTCCAATTCCAGCCTAGGAGGAATCATCCTCCGAATCCTCGGCATCTTCGTCAGAAGCTTCCTCGGCTCCACCACGGCTAGAGCTAGCTTCCAGCACATCCAACCTTTGATTCACGGTGACTAGCTGAGCCTTCATGAAGGAAAAACCCTCTTCAATCATCCGATTTTGCTGACGGAGACGGGCCACCACGTGCTCCTCGTGGGTCACGACATCATGCTCTTTCTTCATTCCCACCTCTTTCCTTCTCAAGCTTTCTTCACTCTCGAGGTCACTTTCTTCTGCCTCCTCTTCTGCCTCATCTTCTTCCTCTTCTTCTTCTTCTTCTTCTTCATCCCCTCCCAAACTTGCACTTCTCGATTCAACTTCTTAACGGGGATCTCAAGCTGTTCCACCAAATAGCTCATCTGTAACACCCCGATTTCCATACCAATTTAAAACTTAATCATGCAGATAATCTAACCATAAAAAGCATACACAGCGGAAGTCTAACTGATAAATAGATGGAAAACGTAGAGTGTTATGCCACGTCCACACAATGGTGAACGCACAGGTGTAAACAACATCAACATAATCTGTCTATAAAGGAACAAGGTCAACAACAACAAGTCTAAAGTCTAGCAAAGGGCACACAGGCCAAAACATACTACAAGGACCGAGGGATCTATTCTATCCATCTCTAGATCACGCTCGCCTCTACTAGGCACCTGAAAGAAACACATAAATATATGGGACGACGCCCGTTCAACGAATGATGCTGGTAATCCACCAATACATGTGAAATATCATACATAGATAGGATACATATACGAAATCGTTTGCGAAACGGGATATAGTATATATAAGTTCAAAGACAAGAGTAGAAGTGTAACACCCCCCTAATTTCTATGCTAATTTTAGCCTTAAACATGTAGATAACTAATCAAAACATCAACACAGCGGAAGACTGAAAAAAGATTATATAAACTGGAAAGGAAAGGGTGCTATGCCACGCTCACCCAGAGGTGAACGCACATGCCAATATCTGCATGATTCATAATCTAAAATCCATACATAACCAAAGTACTAAAGTCTATCCTTGGCACACAGGCCATAACAACAAAAGACATGGGAACTACACTAGCAGGTTCTAGACCACGCTCACGTCTACACATCACCTGAAAGAAACACATAAAAGATGGGACGACGCCCAGTCAAAGAATAATGTTGGTAACCCACCAATACATGTGAAATATCATACATAGATAGG